GAGGGTGTATGTCTCGCATAGATCTATCCTTTGTGTGCAAACACTCCGGAAGTTCGGAATGGTGGGCGCTGCCATTTTTGGTTTGTGGTTTCCATTCAAATGGCGTTATCTCGAAGTTGGTATTTCCGTACAAAGAGAAAAATGAATGAGAAGCTTGTCCTCTGGTTTCCTTTAATCCCGTGCTTCGATGTCGCCGACGAAGCAGGAAGTAGGCAAGCAGAACTCCAAGGACAAGAAGCACCCCTCCACTTACGCTACCAACAATGACAGCAATGGGGAGAGAATGCTTCCCAGTAGGTGAGGGTGATAGTGTAACGATTGGTGTGGGCTTATTCTCGAACAGATCGATTCCATCAATCAGGACTTGTGCTGCAGAGGTCTGATTCCTCGCATCAAAATTAGAAGATGGTGGACCTGACCAGGACCCAGCGTACACATTATCGCCAGAGGTAGCCTGATCTCGAACGGCGTTGTACTACCCGAAACTTGAGCGTAAGATTGAATAGCCAGAAGATGATTACAAACCTGAACTGCCAGGAAGGCTTTAATTGAGTTGCGCAAATCAGCCGCCAGCAATTTCTCCCGTCTGTACGCTTCAGCCAGCCCCCGAACTAGATAGCTATCTGTATCATAGCGACTCTCTGGTAGAGTGTGAGTAATCGCGTAGTAATGATGTTATACACAAACCAACCATATATATTTGAGAGTACACCTCTGACACTAGGCCAGCTAGAAGATGTCTGATTGAAAATCATCTGGATTGTCTGCTCCAACCTAAAGAGTTAAGTTCAATGACATATAAGGATTGAGTCAAAGAATATAGGCAACCGTGTTCCTGCGTCCATGTTGTTGTCCATGGATGCCAGTATTGAAAGCCCTTCAATAATGAACCCTATGACCGAGGTAGGTTTGAATGATCCTCCTTCAGCTGATGTTTCTGCAAGTTCACAGGAGGACGAGTCGTAATCATGGTGCGGAATGCTTTCACGGACGCTCACTGCTGATTTGTATATCGAGCTCTTCAGAAGAAAGTCTAGTGCATTTTGAGCGGCTGAAAGATACGTGTTGTTCTGTCTGGTCTCCGCCAGTGATGCAGATAACCTAAAGGCATCAAATGAGGATGAAACGACAGAGCAGTTAGAGCAGCTGGTAACGCACAAGAAAAAGAACCTGGGATAGATATGAGATTGGGTACAAAGACCAGATTATGGAAGATGCTCACGACGTTTCGTATGGGTCTGCTTCTCTGTTGGTCCGTGACAAATTCTTTTAAGCTGAAGTTAGCTAGCACGATGAACTGGGATATAAAGCACAAAGTACCGTAAATGTGACCCCTTTCAAGGTAGGTTCTTGGTCAGGGCAGCCCCCAATAACCATATCCTTAGTGTCAATCCTTCCCGAGTTTATATTGCTGTCCGAAATGGTAAATAGATTTGCTGTTTCCCAACACTGCGCGGCAGTCTTCAAAAAATCAGAGTTGTTATACGCGCGATAAGAGCGTAATGCCGCATATCCAATGTGTCTACAAGGAATTGATCAGTCTCCACAAATGACTAATGTGTCGTCTTAATGAAAGCCCCACATTATATCTCGAACTTGAATCACCTGATGATTAAATTAATACTCCGTTTACTGCCCGTGGAGCTTGAGGTTCACTTACGTTGGGGGCATCGGGTTCTGACACAGCAGAAGGGGTACATAGATAAGCAATCCCAAATCTCGCTTCCTGCCCGGGACTCGGAGGCGGCGTCACAAGGAAGACGTTGGCAAAGTCACTGAAATTGTTGTTTCCTGTCGAAAGATCATGACTGGCCAATGCAGCATAGAATGGTGGACTGTTGTAGATAGAATCGAATTCTATTGCAAGGACAATGAAATTCATGATCGTATATCTTTATTCTGCTTACCACCACTACCAGCCAAATATCCATCACTAGTAAGCATCAAGAGCCCTTGGTTCAAAGCCTGGCCTGCGGCATTGACGCGATCGTTATTGTCATTGATGACTTGAGTATTCTAAGCACGGTCAGTCGAGGGGATATGATATTTGAAATAAGCTATCTTACCCATCTTGCAGGAAAGGGACGGAGCCCCGCTCCGACCACCGCAGATATAAGACACAGACTGAACAGAGATATCATCATCCGGAGTCTGCTATACTACCAAAGCCATTTTATAGTCTGTGAAAAAGGGCATCAATAGTAGTATGATCATCTTTTTCATTCGTATGGGGCGTTCACGAAAGACACAGCTGGTCATGATAATAAATAGCAATATTTGATCGTCGCAACGTCGTTCTGCGTTGGCAGCGATTCGGCTGATTGGACGTGATCGCCTCTTCCATCACATTGCACATACACTTTATACGGCCCTGGCGGATTTGCCTGGGATCTGGTTACTCCAACGGCGATGTTTATTGCGCTGGGTATTGACGCCTGGATTGAGCATTGTGAAGAGGAGGGGAATGTTGTTGATGACGTGGAATATCATAATGTGGTTACTCGGACCCCGAGACGGGAGACGGAAGGTGATGTGTAAGTTTAGGTTGTATGCTCAGAGTTACGATTGAACAATGATGGAGTGAGTCGAACATAGGATCATAGTGTCCAATTCTTGTGTCTGAAATAGTTTAACATTATGTGTGCGGCGGAGAACATTACATGCAAAAGTGGCAGTTACGTTTGACTCCGAAAATTTCGCCAACAGGGAACAGCATGATGATCATGATAAGCACAAGGGAAGTACCAAAATACTGCGGGGTCATAGAGGTATCAGGAAGAACAGCAAATAGTGACGTATGAAGAAAATTCGTGGCTTCGGCTGGTCTGATATCAAACGCGTGTGGGAGCGGGGAGGCCCTCGATGAGAGATTTTTCTCGTTCTCACGGACACTGTTCCCAAAAGTATATCCGCCCTCACCTCACCTCACCACAAAAAAGGGTGTACCGTCTGGTTACAGGAGACCAGCCTTCGGCTTCTAATTCCGAGGAGATAACAACTTTAGAACAGATCGGTCACAAAACGGAATATCTAATGGTGTAGGGTACTTACTTTCGAGATGTTCACCGTAGGGGGCTCACCGCGGGCTTATTCGTAGACATTGATTCTTACTGACTCTTGAATTGGTAACTTGCATTGTGTACAACATATCGGAGTCGATAACACCTAGTCAAAGTACAATCCACCGTCCACATTTAACTGGACAGTCAAATGAGTGATTAGGCGTGTTTTCTGCCATGTGGGTTCGCAATACGAGGAAATACAAGTTGAAGACTGATCAATAGCTCACCTGTGATAAAACTAGAATCTTTCGACGCGACGAATGAAACGAGGGCCGCTACTTCCTCAGGACAGCCAGGTCTTCCCGCTGGAGTATTTGGGATCTGAACGGGCTATCGGCCAATGACGATGTGTGTTCCAGGAGGCTCACATCGACAGGCGCTAACGAAGAATCGATCTTTGCGAACTCTTCGCCTACTTCCTGAGCTAGATTTGGGTTTATCACTATGTGAAATGAAAGCAACAATGTAAAAGGGATCGACGCACCGAGTTCCGTGTCGATTGCTCCTAAAATGCGCAGATGCTTTGTTAGTGCAACATCTTCGAAGCAGAAACCCTAAACGTACCAGGGGCATATGCATTAACCGTGATCCCATATTTGGCTGCCTCCCACGCAGCACTCTGCGTCATCCCTCGTACAGCGAACTTGCTCGCACTGTACGCCATCAAGTACTTGGCACCCTGTTTTCCAGCACCAGAGGAGGCCCCAATGATACGGCCACCACGACCTTGCTTGATCATCTGGATTGTAGCGTACTTGTAGCAGAGGAATGTGCCACGCGAGTTCACTGCGAAGGTTTGTTCCCAAAGCTCGGTCGAAGCTGATAAGAAAAGGAGCGTGAAAACGTATGAAAAGTGAAACAGGGAAGGGTGTACTTTCAACCATAGGCGCGGCTGTACAGATTCCTGCATTGACGACCATCTTAATTGAAACCGTTAGGACAATTCCTCGAGAGGTGACGATGACTTACGACATCCAATCCACCCAAAACCTCGACGACTTTCTCTATCATTTGCTTTACTTCATCCTCATTCGACACGTCCGCTGTAACCACCACCGTTCTCTTTCCGATTGCCATAATTTCCTTCTCGACGTCCTTGAGTTGATCTGTCTTCGAACTGAGATCGTTAAGTGCACCATCGAAACCATCTTGAGCCAAACGAAGCGCGATTGCCTTGCCGATACCTCGAGCACTTCCTGTAACCAGTGCGACGCCGGTTCCTGTATACGGGGAGATTGTAGTCGAGGTCATGGTGACGATGAAAAAGAAAGCAGAATAACGTACAGTTTCTGATACTGGATGTCGAACGACATGATCGTATGGGAGACGAATAGAAGACCTGCAAAACGCGGGAAGATGAGAATGACACTTGTGACTTGGCAGCCATATTGGTGCAGTATAACAGGAGGTCTAGCAATTATGGTCTTGTTATCACCAGGCCGTGACGATGATGACTTTCGAGCGTGAACATGAACTCGTATCAAGAGCAATGGTGGAAGCGGAGATTCAGGGATTTTGAATTTCTACCCTAACCTGACTCAACCATATTCCCAGCACGTGTACATATGAGCGCCCGTCGAGCTGGTGTCCTGAATCTTGCAATCGAGGCTTGTACGCTTGAGTTACTGTCGGGCAAATGAGATCTCCATGCCCGTTCTAATGCAAAATGAATCGAGTAAGAAGAGTGTATATAAGAGCCTAAATGGGTATGGAGAGGTTCTTCTAGCGTCAATATTCAAGGGGCCTATGCAATTCTCTCCTACATGGCCGTTGTCAGGTTGAGCAATGTGAGAAGTGGTTACGTGGAGTTTAAATAATGGGGTATGGTTCACATTGTTTGGAGCCTAAGAGATGGAGAAGTGTTCCTTCTCGTCAGATCCAATAATACCTAGTTGTGGAGGAGGTGGTCTATACTGAGACGACATCACAGCAAGTATCGTGCCCGTAACTCAGTGGTAGAGTGTGAGATTGCAATTGTTCTTGTCCACCTAAGGCTATGTAAGCATCTCGAAGCCGCGTGTTCGAACCACGCCGGGCACTTATTAATGGAGCCCGATTCCTTTTTGTCCCCAATGACACTCGTGCAACTGAGAAATTCAAAGCAAATATATACAACATCGAGCCTAGATAATACACCAAGAAACCACACTACTCCTGCCTACTACTGATCCTCATCATCGGCTCTCACCAACTCTAAATACCCCTCTGGTACAAGCTTATGCTCTCCTCCGCCTTTACTATCCTTATCTTCGCAAACAACAACCGCCCAACCAACTCCACCGCCTCTCCCAACGACTCTAACCAACTGATCCTCCTCCAACCCCATCTCTGCAGTACCTTCCGGCTCGAAAGCATACAAGGCTCGATATATCCCAGGAACGAGTTCGTCTTCGTCTTCTCCTTCGTAATCATAATCATCGTCATCCTCAGAGTTACTATCCCCCTGAGCAAAATTGAGATCCAGATCATTCTGTGTCGGAAACCCAGCACTACTCGCCGACGCCGTCGTACCCCCTGTTGAAGACGACGATGACGAAATATTACCACCACCCCACGAAAACCTTCCCAACCCAAACTTGAACGCACTCAGGCCCCCACCAGATCCATACCCATAGCCTCCATCGTCATTATTATCCTCTTCTTCCGTATCACCCCCACCGTCATCATCGCTCTCGTCCAAACCGACACTAGATCTCCACTTTCGGTACTGCGTCTCCGTTAACAGTTTCCTATTAAGCACCGTAACCCTATTCGGCCTCGGTACGTCTATACCGAGTCCGCGTCGCCGATTATGTGTATCATCAACAGTGAACGCATAGTCGACGATTTTGATCGGTTTACGGCCTATTTCCTCGGGCGCAGGAGCGGTGTTTTCCTTGTCCCTTTCCTTGTCTTTGGAAGACATACCGGTACCGCTGAAGGAAGCTAACGAGGAAGAAGCACGTTTGCCTTCGCTTACTCGCTTTGATGCGCGTCTGGAGACGGCAGGGCTTGGTGGTGCGGGACGGTTGGAGGTGAGAGAGGCAGTGGATGCAGTTGAAAGTGTACTATCTCGATGTGACTTTTTGGCGTTGGGAGTGTTTACAGACAGGCGGTTAGAGATGGGTGTCGTCGGCGTCGGAGGATCGGGAATAGTTATTGTGTCTGTGTCGGCGTGTGTTAACTGGGAAGGTGTAGGTGTCTGGGTTTGCGAAGGCGTAGGTGTAGACGGTTGTTGCGAGAAAAGGGAATGCGGTGTAGGCGTTGTAGGTGTCAGTGTCGACGTTAATGTTGACGTCGCTGCGGATGCCGATGATGAAGGGGTTTTAATGTGGTTTGCCGTCGGCTGCAAAGGATTTATGAATATGATACGATACAGGAAATGAATGAATGGATATACTTGCCTCTTTGTCCTTCTCTTTGTCCTTCACGACGATACCGTTGCTGGCACTCCCTACTGCTCCATTACTGGTAGTGCTCTTCGCATTTGCGACAGAAGTCTTCCGTCCAGCAGGAGGCGGTTTCACGGCAAATTCATGGACACCAGGCATTGGGGGCGGTAGAAAGCTACTTGAGGGGCTCGGAAACGGTGAAGACGATGGTGGTGTGTCGATTGAGAGGGATAATTGGGGTGCTGTCCAAAACAATTTATATATCAGTCCGCAGTTCCTTTAACGACAAAGGCAAGAAAGAGACCGACAAAGGTACCTAGGAGATGAAAGACGGGGAGAAAGGAAGAAAAAGGGAATACTTGCATGTCATAATATAATATATCCTTTTCCTATTTTCCTTTTCCTGCTCTCTCTTCCCGTACAGCGGCGTCACTAGACTGTTCTGTGTTTTTTTTGGGATTTGGGTTTGATTGGATTGCGATGGATGGATTGGGCGGTGTCGTGGTCGTCGTTGGCAAGGAGAACTTGTTTGGAGATGTTTGGCTTGGTAACCGGCTATCGCGTGATCAAGATTATCAGTATTAGGGTTATGGGTTTCCAGTTTCCTGGTTTGGGCTCGAGGGGCGTTGAGTGACAAGTATTGAACTTTAGTAGAAGCCTCAGAAGCCCTTCTTATACATCGCTTGAAGGTTCCGCTTACAGTGATATAAATCCTTACAAGTCCAGATTCTTCTCAGCCGACACACGTAACCCCATTCTCGCTTGACTTTGTGGCGATGCTTGGGGCTGCGGGTATCGCGGCCGTCGGGCAAAAGGAACCGTCGCAGTTACATTGACAAGAACCTGGATCGGAGGCGTTACGAGGTCAGAAGTCGGGGGTATAGCTCAGCTGGGAGAGCAGCAGACTGAAGTGTATTACTCTTCTGAAGGTCCCGCGTTCGATCCGCGGTACTCCCAATGGATTTCTCAGCCTGTTCTTTTGCCCATGGATCTCACGACTCTACACCCTTCAGGATAAGTACCGACGTGTTCAACACACCAATGCCACAGGATACCCGTCATCTTGCCGATGTAAGATTTTGATACCTTTGCGTACTTTGATACTACAGTAGATAGACTGGTAACACCGTGACTGAATTATTACTAGCTCGATAGTCGCTTACTTGCAACTTGCTTGCGAAAACGAAAGCCCAGATCTAGACGCCGAGGCGCTTGGACCCTAACCCTAAACCGAGTATGCCATCGGTTCGTGGACCAGTGACGTGATTTGGACGCGATGCAATTCTGTCCTCGACTTCCACCATGTTTCCTGGTCGCCCAGCGTCATGTCAAGTATACGACCGAGTGGATAGGGTATTAAGGTTTTCAATGTGAGCTTTCTCGCTCTGAATATCGTATCTATTGTTCACAATTGCTTCATTTTTATTTGCAGATTACACTTTTTTCTTCGCAGTGTGGCACAAAGGAGAGTGATCCAGGCGATAAGTGCGATTAGCTTCCTTTGCGAAGGTTCTTGGTCCCATTAGAGTATCGGACTAGAATATTTGACGATGTCAGAAAGGAAAAATGATTCTTGGCTCTGAACTATTCTTTCAGCATCCCGTTCATCAACGCCCGGACCATTGTTTGCACTCTGATCCCAAATTCATCGCCAGCCTGTGCTATTATTTATAACCTGCCACATCAATTCTCACCGCCTCGACATGCTATCACCTTGCTTATCGATGCCGCCGCAAGGGCTCTGTTTAGGCCAGAGCTATCAGCTTATGAACTGACAATTGCGGGAAGTCACTTCTGCACCGTTGTTTTTCGTCGAATGCTTACCCGTTTGCAATCTAATTCTTGAACCTTTAGTATTTACGTTCAAAGTACCTTGCAATCTGATCGAAAGCATGTTGATATTTTGCGATCGAACAACGATGGTATCATGTTCTTTGATTTGGCAGATGATGAAGTGTTTCCGAAAGGTGAGCCCGTAATATTCTGCACGGAGAGAAGCTAGAAATACCTAGAAATACCAACAAGTGTCGAAACTGCACCTGAGAAGCGTGACAACTGAATTCGGTCGCGGGATGACTCAAAATGTTAACTAGAAACCTTCGTCGACATAGGCCATGTCTATGCTCACTTCCATCGAGGGGAATTTTGTTCCATTTCTGGTGGGATCTTGGAACCAGGACAGCTCTGATGAAGCGAGTATCACGGTGATTCCCTGTGTTCACTCCGCATCATATCAGCCCAACGTCGCATTTGGTACTCGGAAATGTCATTAAGGATGAATTTTCAATCAGGCAAGGTGATCAACAAAACTCTATGCTTGAAGAAGCTGTCTTTCTGACCAGATTTGACACAATCCCGTTGTGGCACCACATCTATGTTTCATACAAAGATGGGCGTGCATTAGTTTCGGTGTCGCTCGACACAATGATCTCACACGTCCCCAAGTTGATCCCACTGATCTCGTGCGATTAGTATAAATATAGGAATACAAACTCACATTAGCGATGGTAAAGCCCTTTCCCATAGCCATGACATTGCCTCTGTCGTTATACCGTGCTTTCTTCATTTCTTCCCTCATTTCTCATCCTGTGGCAGCTCAGAAGGACCGCATCTTCCAGTGGACGCTTGACACTGGGTATTCTGGACCCTTCGTTAGCCAATGCACCTCTTACTCCATAGCCCTATCGCCCTATAATTCCTCCTCCTCAATCTCCACTGGGGTTCCTCCATATTACATGATATCATACGAGTTAGGTGGTACGCCGAGACTCAGCTTGCTAGGAACAAACACCAGTAGATTCAACTGGGTGGCAAATTATCATCCGGGTCGGTGGCAGTCAACCCGGTTTACTAGAAGCTCATTATTTCGACAATAGGAACATCTGTAATACTGAGTGTCGTCGACGCAGAAGGGACTGCTGGAAACGTACCCAAGCTATATTCTGTTGTGCAAAGTGAGCACCTCCTGTAATCATTTGTGCTGTCCTCTCAATAACCGCACATACAAGGCGACGCATCTTGTGCAACTGAAAATGATGGCTCTTCCCAGCACTCCTTCACGATCAATGCAAATATGACTGGTTTCCTCGAGTCCTGTGAACCATGGGGACTACAAATTCACGGAGGAGAGAGACCATATAATGTTACTCTCGTTGAAGTAGACGACACGGTGGTCAATATTACAATGGGACCGAATGACAACGGATTCGTCTACATCAATAGGGCAGGTCCTTCTAGTCTTGTGATGGGTAAGTACTTGATCTCAAAGCTTCCACCACAATTAATCTAACTACGTATAACGCCTTTAGCGACTGTGTCTGATTTGTAAAGCTCATTGCGTTCCTCGTCGTTGTCGTTTTACTCATACCGCAGAGTGAGCAGGACAGGACAATATGCATATGGAACCCCGTACATTCAAACATCTGGAATTGCAAAGGGTGATGGCGGCGACTGTATAGGACAAGTCTCCAGTTCCGGATCGTCCATCGACTTTCCCGTGAATAAGGCCTCACGCCTCTCTAAAGCCGACGTTGCAGGCATCGCCATTGGAGGATGCGTGGCAATACTTATTGTCATAGTTATATGGTACTCCAACCGCCAGAGACGAAGAAGACATCGGGCGTTCCCCAGACTTGACCCATTCTCCGACACCACGGGATCTCGAAAAACTCAAAAGATACTACGCGATCGCAGAGAGAGAGATTCGCCCGCGGATGAACAGGATTCCCACGTATCTCCCGAGTCCACAGTCGAAGCAGGAATCGGAACGGTCATTATCCAGCATCGAGACGCTGGTCATGGTCGCATCAGGGAACTTCCGCCTCCTTACGAGGATGCTCGTGATACGGACGTCGAGGTGAGTATCATGCAATCTGTCGAGCCTGAGCAAGCCACTGCACCCGAGCACCATCTGCCCGTGTCTTCCGTACACAAAGATTCCCAAGCATGATAGATTTTACTGTCACGACATGAAACATCGGTAGTGTACTTTCTGTTCTCGATGTAACCCAATATCTTTTAACCATATCCGTCCCTTCGTAGATCCACCAACGTGCGCCACACGTACTGAGTTGTCCAAAATGACTTCGTGCTTTTTGTGAAAAGTACGAGGACAGTTTCATAATTAAACTCGGAATGTGTCTCATATTCCTAAATCGAATTACACTCGCTCTCATGTTATAGCTCACAGGTCCTACTTCATACCGACACCGTGACTATGAACTAAACTATTCTTGTTTCAGCGCCACCTGTGCCACCACACCACTAGCAAATCCCTCGACTGACAATCAAACAAGATGAGAGTTGTGCGAACGCATCTTTCAAATCTGTAAAACGGTCACCCGATCCAGGTGGCTCAGACAGCACAACATTTAAAAAGTGCAAGGAAGCACGGCCTAGCCGGTGTGGGGGACAAGTTGATGCAAGAAATGGTTTGTGATCCCCCTGGATGTCGTTAGCGAAGTCACGGTGAGAATAGCAACGAACATGAAATGAAAGAGGCACCCTGGTGAGCCCAATACGCAAAGAATTCAAAGCTCACGCGGCCGAAGTGTAATTATAAGCAATGTGACGAGGACAACATCTTGGATTGCGACTCGAAGTATCAGGCTTCATGAACCCTAGACCATGATGAAATCGTGTGTTTAAATGGAATTATGGCTACTGCACAGCTATTGTCTTACTTTTGGGTGTAGCATAACCTTCAAATGAACTGCAAGCAGGCTTTTGCATACTGCAGGGACAGGTGACACTGTCGCACTGGGCGGTGATGATCATTTGCTAGGAGAGTGGCTGCACCCATGGGGATCGACAAGATCACTTCTGATTTAGAGTACGTGAGCATAAGTCTGGTATCAGTATCATGTAGATGCTCAAGAAGCCTGGGTGGTGAACAAATGAACGGCCGCACAAACCTTATTATCCTCGGCGAGAAGATTCTTAGCTCTCGATATAACAAGCAGGAGTGGCCTGCATGAGTTTGTGCGGCACTGATAAGAGTGGTGAAATACGCACATCTAATGAGGTTGTGGAGCACGAGTGTGCCCTTCGTTTCTGATCTGAACGAAAGTTCGACGGAAAGAAGAGCATTTAATAGACGCTCGAAATGGGCGCGACCTTGCCACGACGGAGCTTTAACCGTCTGGGATGCTCGTGTTTTAAATACCGCCCAATGCTTCTGTGACTTCTGCACAATTTTTCATCAATGAGCACAGAACCAAGACAAGATATAAACGAACCATAGCACCTTCGAATATACTCCCCGGGCCGTAGGGAAGTCTTCAACTTATCTTGGCTATTATGTTCCCGCTTTTTCGCCTTAAGTACCTGGTTCAGCGCCGTTGTTGCACACAAAACAGATACTTTGGCCGTGGAACATTGCGTATCATGAGATTGTCAAGACGGCCATTTGTCGTGGGAAGGTGCTCGGACCGGCCTCGGCGTTATCCATGTCATGATCTCATCACAAACTTTTTTTTCAGCTATAGACATAGTATACCCGAGCGGTGACTCTACCTAAACTCTACCTCTAAAGCTATAGCCAGGCGCTATGATTGAAAAAGGACACCCAGTAAAAAGATTGAAACAACTTGGGCGCCCGAATTTGCCACGTGAACCGAAGAATTGGAATTTACTTACGCAATACCAATGTAATACAAGCGCCCGCCTGTCACTCTTTTTCACCTCTTGACTTTTGCCATCATGTCACTTTCCTGCCTTAACCATCCTTCCTGCGAAAGTGGCATTTTTCTTGTCTGGAACGCACCATTCATTGCACGGAAAGAGCACCAGTCCATGTTTATTGGCATTAGCGGTTTGTACAAGGTCAGCAGCTCGCCTACTGTGCGCTCAAAATTAATTACAGATGCACATTTCCCAGCTGAATAGCATCAACTATCGTCATTTTCAATGGCGTGCCTTTTGTGAGTTTCAGGAACTTGCCCAGAGGAGATCCACTC